GGAAAATATTTTCTAATGTCTGGTCTAAGTTTTCATTTGAAATGACTTACTTACGAGACTGTTAACTCTAAGAAAAGCAGTCACTTAGGACTAGCTAGCATCTAGACTAAACAGAAGTGTTTTTCCATTACAAATACTGCTTTCTTAACATTTTCTAAAATAGTTTTAAAATGTTAAAAATGCCTTTGTTCACAGAGGTATTTCTTGTAGCCACTATTTTGAAAGATAATTAACATTTTTATGCTCTAGGCTCTTTCCCCTTTGAGCAGTAATGGTGTGTTTCTTCAGTGAGCTGGGTGAGTGTTCAGAGGCTGGGCTTGCTGAACAGCTGTTTGCACACTATTTGGCTAGAGGGCCTGGGACAAGGGGTGTGTGTGTGTGTGTGTGTGTGTGTGTTTGTGTTGATGTGTTATAAGCTTCCTAGGTGATTCTTTGGTGTTGGTGTAGTTATGTCTGCTGTTTGTGATTATATAGTTTTTTTGTTTGTTTGTTTTTTTTTGTTTTTTTGTTTTTTTTTTGTTTTTTTGGTTTTTTTTTTGGTTTTACGAGACAGGGTTTCCCTGTATTGTTTTGGAGGCTGTCGGTCCAGCCCAGCCTCGAACTCACAGAGATCGCCTGCCTCTGTGTCCCGAGTACTGGGATTAAAGGCATGCGCCACCACCGCCCGGCGATTATATGTTATTATCTTTTAAGATACATTAGTAAGCCAGGCAATGGTGGCATATGCCTGTAATGAGTCTCTCTGAGTTCCAGACCAGCCAGGGCTACACAGAGAGACCCTGTCTTGAAAACAACAACAAAAACCAAAAAAAAAAAAAAAAAAGACTTGAGTAAATTGTTCTTTCATAGCCAACTGCTGAGGTTGAAAGGAAATGCAGCTTTCTGCATATCAGCTAAACTTTAAAAATGGGAAGTCAGGGGGAATTTGTTTTCTTTTTAAGGTGTGAACTATTTTAGTTTTACATTAAGCACCCAAGAGTCTGGATCTCCGTGCTTTCCTTTATCTTCTTAGCAGTTTAAACATGACTCTCAGAGACTCTTATTCTAGGAAGTGCATCAGAGCCTGTCTCTGAGCTCTGAATTTTCCAGTCCCTGCTCTTGGAATGTGGAGGAGATAAAAGAAAACAGACTTGAGAATCTGCAAACATGAACTCAAACCTTCCTCATAAGAACAGTGACTCAGGATTCCCTCCCCCAACTCCTAAATTACACTTTCAAATGTGTTTGTTTGTTTGCCTCACTGGACTGGAGATACTAGAATTGGTAGAGAAGACTGGAATTGTTGCCTTCAGCCCTTCCTCTGCTGGGGTAACTTTGTGTGTAATGGTAGAGCATGGGAAAGTGTAATCATGAGAATAGCCTTTTGGGTTTTGTTTGTTTTTACACTTTATTATTTTATACTTTATTACACTTTGTTTTGTGTTGAGTGTGTGCCTATATAATATACATGTAGAACTCAAGGACAACTTGGGGAGGTCTGTTCTCTCTTTCACTGTAGTCCCAGAGGTCTAAATCGTCAGATTTGGCAGCAAGTGCCCTTCCCTGGTGAGCAGTCTTAATGACCCTGAAACTAGTTTTGAATAGCTCCAAGTAGGAAGAGATTTCTTAACAACCAGGAATGGTTTTAGTAAGTCATCTGTTTCCTTATATTTCCTCAAAATTTATAATTAATTGGCAAACGTGATAGTGTACACCTTTAATCTCAGTGTACACCTTTAGTCCCAACACTCAGGAGACAGTGGCAGGAGGATCTCTATGAGATGTTGGCCAGCCAGAGCTACACAGTCAGATCCTGTCACAAAATGGGTGGAAGGGATAGTTATAATTAGCCTGTTGGTTTTCAGTGTACTGTTAACTGTTCTTCAAATACAGGTACATCAAAGAGAAATTCTTCTTCCAATGAAGGAAGTCGAGAAGGAATTAAGAGCAACTCTTCATATCTGGGGAATGCATACTGTTTATAGGGGACTGATCTTGTTGGTGGTGAGACTGTTGGCTGTGTATGTTTTTTCATGTATATGTGTGTAGGGTATGTGAGTACTGGTGCCCATGGAGGCCAGAAGAGGGCATTGGATCCCCTGGAGTTGGAAGTAACAGGTGAGCCAGTTGTCATGGTCACTGGGAACTGAACTCAAGATTCTCTGAAAGTGAAGCAAGTACTCATAACTTCTAAGACATCATCACTGTAGCACCTGCTTTTTATTATTACTCCCCAAAGTCCATATGATTGTCTATATCAAATGTTATAATAAAGGAGCTATTATTCTTAACAACAAATTGTGTTCATAACACTAGTAATCTCTTAATTTTTTTCAGTTTTGTTTATTTTCCTTTTCTGTGTATGAGTGTTTTGACTGTGTAGATGTCTGCGCACCACATGTTGCAATGCCCATTAAGGCCAAAAGAAGTCATCATACCCTTTATAACTGTAGTTTCATGTGGCTGGGAGCTGCTTTGAGGGTGTTGGGAATTGAACCCAGCTCCTCTGGAAGATCAGCAGCCAGTGCTCTTAAATACTGAGCCATCTCTCCAGTCCCTTACCAGTAAGGTCAATTACTATTTTATAATTATTAACTCGCTCTAAAAGAATATACATTTTGATGAAATAATTTATAATACTTTATGGCCAGGCATACCATTAATCTCAGCATTCAGAAGGAAGAGGCAAAAGTCTAAAGCCAACCTGGTCTACAGAATTCCAGAACAGCTATGACTATGTGGTTGAGACAGCTATGACCTGTCTAAACCACACTACCCCCCCAAATAGCAGTATCTGTTTCAGATATTTTGAGTATTTGCTTTCATTTTTTAATGGCTCTCATTATGCTTTTGTCATATTTAAATGTTTTAACCAGTCTGCTATTGGATGGTTGCCATGTATTTTCCTTGTAGGAAAATCTTTGTACAGTTATTTCTGAGTCAGACATGAGTTCTTGAGGCATTCACTGCTGTCTACTAGTAAAAATTGCTGCCTGGAAGGGCTGTGCTCATTTGTGGTCAGTGTCGTGTGCAATGGAGCTACCTGAGACAATACTCAGGTGACTAGCCATGGGGTTTGGGGCTCTGTTTTGTTTTTGTTTTCCCCCCAACTACAGTAAGAGAGAGAGAGAGCTTGGGCAACTTCCAGGTCTGAAGTTCTGAAAGAAAACATCTAGACCCAAAAACTATTTTTATTTCATGTTCAGTATGTAATGGCATTAGGCCACTTTGAGTCTGGGATATTTGCATATTGATTTTCTGGGCCAAGATGAAAGCATTATATGCTGCCCCAGATTGAAGCCATTCCCAGTCTGTGTTCTGCCTGCCAATAGGATTTGAACAACTGAACGTTTGCCATGCTGAAATATATTTAAGCACGGGTGTGTGTGTGTGTGTGTGTGTCCAATAATGTATTAAAAGAGATGGCCAGGTAACCTATACAGCTTGGAATCCAGAGGAAACATAGCATAGGACTGGGATGTGGCTCCGCTGCAGGATTCTTGTCTAGCATATTTGAGGCCTGGGTTCCATCTTCCCCTACTATCAGAACTAAGATAGAAAGCATTGCACAGTCCCTGCCTGAGGTGTTTACAAAACATCTTATTCAAGGGTAGACTGGTACTCTGCTTGAGGAAGAAAGGAAAGAAAAGGCTAGGTAAATAATAGGTAAGGAAAGCAAACAAAGCACTGGTAGCATTGCAGCCTTATTTATTCTTTGCCTAGCAGGATTGCTGAAACTGCATCCTTGGCTCTGTGGACTGGTCAACACAAGAGCACTCCCTTCTCTTGGTGCTTGGAATTGAAAGCATGCTGAAGTGAGCTTGTTCATGTGTAACATAGTTGAACCAGTGCGGCCTGTTGCTGTGAGGGCCTGATGTAAAGGGTTTGTAATGAGCTGGGAATGCTTTGTCAGTGGAAACATCAGGAATTGTTTCAGGTCTGTTTGTGTTATGAGCAGTCCCAGTGAAGTGGTTATAGAAATTAAAAGGCTGTTGCTGGCTTACTCAGACTGACTAGTCGGCACAGCTGTCGCGAGTGCCATGTCAGATTGTTGCCACCATGAAGAAGGTGTTTTAGCTGCTCTGGCTGGAAGCCAGGCTCAACTATGTGAAGGTTTCCCAAGCAGTTGCAGACTTGAAACAGTTCTATTTGCAGAATAGTCAATACGACCCTTTGCTGCCTGGAGGGTCTTCAAGTACAAATCCTTTCAGACCCAAAAAGTCTGCTCCTTTTTGTAGTCATATTTCTTGAGGCTTCTCAAACCACTCTTCAAGAACCAGTGAATATTCAAGAGAACTAAGTCTGAAGTCTGTACAAACACTTCTCCATAACATGTGCCATAATATGTAACCTTCTCGTTGTCAGTCCTGAACATCTACCTCTGTGAATTTTCATGGATTTCTGTTTCACAAGGTTTAACATTTTATATACACTGGTTGTCGATACAGTAAAACAGCATACAAAAGAAGGGCTATTACTGTTGAAAGCAGAACTGCTTGTTAAGTGTAAACATTTTTATTCATAAAGCAGAAGGATAGTGGTAGTGACTGCTTGCTTGACAGAAATTTTCATGATTTTGAAGGAAAAAAACTCATCTTTTAAAACCCTTCAGGCTCTTTCAATGAGTACTGAATAGTCGCTATGTTGGAAAATTCAGGTAACATTTCCTCTGCTCTGTGTTAGGTTCTGCCTGTGAGTCCTATAAAGGAATGAGATTTTTCTCTCAATGTTTTGTGCTTATTTATAGTGGTACTTATCAAGTGCTCTATAGCTGAGCCCTATTCTCTAGTTTAACAGTTTCAAGAGAACCATTAATTTGGGAATTTGGGAAAACTAAGGGTATAGTTTAAGTTGTAAGAGCCACCTTTAAAGAGAATTTGAAAGAATTCAGGCCCTTTGGTTTTTCCTTTGTGAAATACTGCATAGTGGTTGTCAACAAAATTGAAATAAGCAATAACTCTAGTTAAACATTAAAGTTGTACTATTTGCAGAAGTACTCAACTTTATTTTTCCATTTACAGCATTGGTTGGATGGTACAAAAAGCATCAAAAAGCAAGTAAAAAGTAAGTGCTGAGAAATCATTTGTGAAATAGTGCAAATAAAATATATCAGAAACACTAATTCTTAATAGTAAGAACATTTTTAAAAATCATGTTTCTTTTGAGTTTCTTTACCATCTGCTTTTGTGGGATGGGCTGGGGGTTATGTTGGTCAGCCTCAAGATACATCTTAGGATGGTCTCAAGTTCAGAAGCCTTCCCAGCCTCCTAAATGCTAGGGGCGTTGCTGGGTTCTACTGTGCCTGACTAGCATGTCTGCTTTCTAAACTTTCACTGTGATATGTAATGCCCAATTTATATAGGTTTAAAATAAGTCTGGACTCAAGAGTCTTGTAATTTGAGTTTATAGGAGAAATATTTGCAGCTTACAAACATTTGAATTGGATTCTTATAGAATGTTTAACTTCTCTTTAGATATTGCTTGTGCTAATATTTTATTGGGCTTCCCCCCTCTTCTTTTTGTTTGTCTGATTTTGATTTGGCAGGTTCTACTTGCTTCTAGAAAACATTTTGAGACCTAAAGGATGCAGTAATTTTTCCCTTGTCTTCCGGGGATTGATACTATACAGACTGTGCACAGTAGCCTGGACTTAAGAAATATGTCTGTGCCGTCAGCTAACATAGCCTGTGGCAAGCACCAGAGACCTGTCATCCTTATAAAAGTTTTTCTCAAAATTACTTATTTTAGGTTTATGAGTACTGTGCCTGCATGCATATATGTGAACCATGTGTGTGCCTAGTGCTTTCATAGGTCAGAAAAGGGCATTAGAGCTGGGTGGCAGTGGCGCACACTTTTAGTCCAAGCACTCAGGAGGCAGAGGCAGGCAGATCTCTGTGAGTTCAAGGCCAGCCTGGTCTACAGAGCAAGTTCCAGGACAGTCAGGGCTACACAGAGGAACACAGAGGAAGCCCTGTCTCAAAACAATGAAAAGGGGGAGGGGGAAGCATTGGGTCCCTAGGAACTGGAATTACGGACAACTGTGAACCATATGGGTGCTGGGAATTAAAGCCAGGTCCTTTTCAAGAGCAACAACTGCTCTTAACCAAGGAGCCATCTCTCCAGCCCTAGCCTGTATTTCTTTTAAAAGAAGAATAATGATAGTGCTGGAGAGATGGTTCAGGTGTTAAGAGCACATACCAGTCTTGTGGAGGACCCCCGTTTAGTTCCCAACACCTGTATCAGTGGTTCACAGCTGCTTACAGCTCCAACTCCAAGGGATCTGACACTTTTCCTCTGGACTCTGGGCACCTGCATTTGCACATGCACGTAACACCCCTACACACACACACCCCACATACACATAATTAAAAGTAAGTGTTAAGTGATGAAATGAGTAATTCACGTAAAATGGAGTAATCTTAACTTGGTAGAACTTGGGGAAATAAGTGTCCAGTCCCCACAGCCTGGCTTGTCCCGGTAGTGTCAATCTGTAGGGCAGTTTAACTCTTGTCTTTATAAGACAAGATGCTGAGAACACAGCAGTTAGTGAGTGCACTGGACTAAGTTTGAAAGTGTGGGATGCCTGGCCTTGAGCAGAAACTAATTCCTCAGCATTTGCTAAAAGTGTGACTCAGCAGGTTTTCCATGCTGCTTGATTGTATGGTCAAGATTATGCATTTGACCCTTAATTGTTAGAGTTAATGCAGGGCCATCTGTCTTGAGATGACAGATGAATGCAATAATGCTCACTGTGGTTGATACACTTTAAAACTTTTGTGTCAAATTTCTGCCTATCTTCTTCTTTGAAATAATGCTACAATAATCTCTTCTTTTATACTTTAGTAATTTCCAGTAGTTTTTCACCAGCTGAAAAATTATTAGTAAATCAATAAAAATTAAATCTCTTTTCTTTTTTTTTTTTAATGGCAGTTGGATCACCATATTGTCTTCATCTTCGAGTTAAGTTTTACTCCTCAGAACCAAACAATCTTCGTGAGGAGCTAACACGGTAAGCCCACTACAAAGGGTGGTGTCAGGGGGTTAAGACTTAGAAAGCCACTCCTAGGATTCCTCAGTGTAGCAATAAGGTCTCAGGTAAGTTTTTATTCTAGAACAAGGTGTTCAGAATGTCTGATTCTAGTCAGGTAAGACAGATAGTTCATGCTTATAATCTCAGCATTCTGGAAACTAAAGCAGGAGGATTACTGTTAAGTCAAGGCCAACCTGGCCCCCATAATGAGTTTCAGGCTAGCCTGAGCTACATTGTGAGGCCTTATCTTAAAATATTAAAAAATAACTAAAGTGTATGATTCTTTTATTTGTTGTGAAAAAGAAGTTGATTGTCATGCATCCAGCTGAGGTGACTGGTGAGTCAGGTAGTATCCATTTCTTCATTTTACCCTGCCTCCTTCCTTACAGCATATGCATTGCTTCTTTTCAGAGTTTCTCTTTGTAGCTTTGGAGGCTGTCCTGGAACTCTCTATAGACCAGGCTGGCCTCAAACTCAAAAAGATCCATCTGCTCTGCCTCCCAAGTGCTGGGATTAAAGGTGTGTGCCCAGCTACACATTGCTTCTTGTACACAGTCCTCATTAAGTGACAAGGCAGAGTTGTTAGAGTAGAGTGCCTTTGGAAGGGTTTCCCTTTGAATTTCCTGGCAGTGGTGTTGCTGCCGTTATCCTTACAGTGCTTATATAAGTGTGTTGCCAAAGTTAAGATAGGGTTCGTTTACATAACAGGCTTCTGACATTTTCTCTAGGCTGCGCTGCTCCACTGTACTCTGGCCTGCTTTTCTTCTCTTACCTTCAGGAGTGCTTCCTTCCTCCTCTCAGCACCCTTTTTCCTGTGTTGTTTCTCCCCTTACATCTTTTTGTGTAAAGTTCTGTAATTAGAGATGTTCTCTTGGGATGTGGTTGTGCACACCTTTGACCCCAACAATTGGGAGGCAGAGAGGCATGTGTATCTGAGTTCTGGCCATCCATGAGTGAAATCCTGCCTCAAAAAAGAAAGAGGTGTTCTCAAGTTAAAATGATAGGATTTTTTTTCCATAGTGCATTGTTCTATTTAGTTATTTTATGTCTTTTACTTTCCTTAGGTATTTATTTGTTCTTCAGTTAAAACAAGATATTCTCAATGGGAAGTGAGTATTAAATTTTTTAGTACATAACTGCAAAATTTTTGAATAGTAGGAAAATAACCTAGAAAATAAATTCAGCACAGGGCTACAAGATGATGGCTCAGCAAGAAAAGGACCTGAAGTTGCATCCCCAGCACCCATGTAAATCCCAGGAGCTCTGTGCCATCTGTAACCCCAGTGCTAGGGGCTTACTGGCCAGCCACTGTAGCCAAAACAGTGGGCCCCATACTCTGGGAGAAACAGTCCCCAAAATAGTACGTTGGAAAGAAACAGAGGAAGATTCTCAGCATGGTCCTTGGGCCTCCACAAGCTCAGTGTAGGCAAGAGCACTTACACATTCAAGTAAGTTCAGAGTTGTGTAAAGCCAGGGTTCAAGATGCAGTGTATATTACTGTTGTTTACCTTAAAGATTATGGAATTGACTAAGCCAGTTTGTGTTTTGATCTCAGATTAGAGTGTCCCTTTGATACAGCAGTTCAGTTGGCAGCTTATAATCTGCAAGGTAAGTGAACTTGTGCTTGATAAGCCTGAAGCATAATTCTTTGGTGTGCTGCATGTCTAAGGTATAAAGAATAACATGACAGCAGACTAGAAAAGGTACAGCACTTGTTTTTATGTATAATTACACCAGTGTCCAACTCTTGACTTCTGAATTGCTTTGTTCTAAAATACTTCTTTTAAAAATTACTGTTTTTGTTGCCCTTTCCTCTTAATTCTTTGCTCTTTTAAATTTTCTTTTTTTAAATTTTTAAAAAGTTATTTTCATTTTTTATGTGTTGGTGGTTTCGCCTTCTTGTGTGTGTGAGTGTGTCAAATCCCCTGGTACTGGAATCATAGACAGTTATGAGCTGCCATTTGGGTGCTGGGAATCAAACCTAAGTCTTCTGGAAGACTAGTCAGTACTCTTAACTGCTGAGCCATCTCTCCAGCCCCTCCCTTCCTCCCTTCCTTCCTTTTTAAATTTATTTTACTTTAAGTATATAGGTAAGTATTTTGTCTGCTGTTATGTCTGTGTACCATGTGTATGCCTGGAGCCCATGGAGGGCAGAAGTGTTCATTGATTCCCCAATAGAGTTACAGACAGTTGTGAGCTGCCATGTGGGTTCTGGGAATCGAAACGAGGTCTTCTGGGAAAGCAGCCAGTGCTCCCAGCTGAGGTGCAAGCTCCTATTCTTTCCCCATCTGTAGTATTTTGAAACAATTTGCAATTTACCTGATAATTGAATAAATGTTAAGATTGGACCCAAGCTGATTGTTTTCCATAAAGAGAATGCAGAGACATGAGACTAAATTGTCATGGCTGTTGCATAGCTGGCTTTTTTTCACTTCTCTTACAAATGAATTATTGAAGAATCAGAGCTTACTCAAACAGGATCAGGCCATTGCACTTTTAAAAGTGCCTGTTGGTCACTTTAAGGTGTTTCTTAATAAATAAGATTAGTGGGAAACTTATCTAATACTTCAATTTGGTTTTCCTCCTAAAAGTTGACACAATTTTAAAGGAAAACTGTAATTTGAGTCCTTGTTTCACTCATTGAAAGAAAAGATTTTTCTGAAATATCTCTATATATACTGTAATTAGAGTTATATTTAACACGCTCAGGACTTTAGGTTGTACATTTATTCTAAGATCAGTAGTGTTTGCATGTTTTACAAAAAGCAAATGCAATATTTTTGCTTTTTTTATATATCTATTATTAAAGAAGGCATATTTTCCTGGTGATGAGATTTTTATCTACTTGATTTTTTTTCACTATTGTAATCTGTCTCCTAATTAAAACTTACTTTCTATATAGACAATGAAGGGAAAGCATTAGTTTAGAAATGCTGTCTATATTCTATTTGTCCCTTGTGACAGCCAAAGTATATGCTTAAAAATAGAATTTATATGGACTGGGGATGTCTGGTGAGTGAGGGTTCTTGATCTGCAGATAGAGAGATACCAATCCCCCGCACCCGTATAAAGATCTAGCAAAGGCTTCTAGAATTTTGGAGCTGAGGTAGGCAGATCCAAGAACTTGATGGCCATCCAAACATCTGGGATTAAAGGTGCTCACCACTACTGACCGACTTTTAGTAGTTTTTGTTTGGTTGGTTGGTTGGTTTTTGGGGTTTGTTTATGGGGGACTTTTTGGTATTTTTTTGTTGGTTTGTTTTTGGGCTTTTTTTGTTTTGTTTTGTTTTGTTTTGTTTGAGACAGGGTTTCTCTGTGGCTTTGGAGGCTGTCCTGGAACTAGCTCTTATAGACCAGACTGGTCTTGAACTCTCAGAGATCTGCCTACCTCTGCCTCCCAAGTGCTGGGATTAAAGACGTGTGCCACCACCGCCCAGCTTGTTAGTATTATTAACACAGCATAACTTTGTTAACTTGTATTTGTAGCTGAACTTGGTGACTATGATCTTGCTGAACATAGTCCTGAACTTGTCACTGAGTTCAGGTTTGTGCCCATTCAGACGGAAGAGATGGAACTGGCAATTTTTGAGAAATGGAAGGAATACAGGTAACTCATAATTTGATCACACTTTTTAAAACATCACCACTGTCACTATTTTGCATTTTTTTCTTTCTACTTTTCATTAAAAATCACTTTGTGCTTATTATCTTGTAATTACTATATTTTAAATTTCAGAGGTCAGACACCAGCACAAGCTGAAACCAATTACCTAAACAAAGCTAAATGGCTAGAAATGTATGGAGTTGATATGCATGTGGTCAAGGTAAGAACTATTTTATAGTACCTTTTTAAAAAATATTTATTCCTGGGGCTAGAGGGATGGCTCAGCAGTTATGAGCATACGCTGTTCTTGTAGAAGTCCTGAGTTGAGTTCCCATCAGAGCTACACACAAATACCTGTAATTCCATCTCCAGGGGACCTCAGGCCCCTCTTCTGGACCCTGTAGGTGCCTGTACTCAATGTGTCCATATACATAATTTTTTTTTCTGGTTTTTACGAGACAGGGTTTCTCTGTATTGTTTTGGAGGCTGTCGGTCCAGCCTGGCCTCGAACTCACAGAGATCCGCCTGCCTCTGCCTCCCGAGTGCTGGGATTAAAGGCGTGCGCCACCACCGCCCGGCTACATAATTTTAAATTAATAGAAATAAATCCTTTTTTGAAAATTAATTCATTCCTTTGAGATTTTTAATGCAATTATGAGTTTGTAGTATGAGGGAAGGCATGGAGTTTGTATAGAATACCTCTGAGTATTTTTAATGTATGACAGGTAGCAGAAAAAATGGTTGAAATTAGATATGGAAAGACTAGAATCAGTTGGGTGTGGTGGTATTTGACTTTGATCCCAGACCTGGAAGGCAGTGTGGATCTCTGTGAGTTTGAGACCAGCCTGGTCTACAAAATGAGTGCCATGACCACCAGGAGGGAATGTAGAGAGACCCTGCCTCAAAAAACCAAAAACCAAAACAAAAGACTAGAATCTCTAGAAAGATTCCAGAAATGTATATGGATGCTTGTAAGATGCTGATGTTTAAGCTGAGAAAAACATTTTTTAGTCTTAGCACTTTTTATCCTTAACTATTTGATGTTGTTTCATATCACTGAAGCTCACTATTGAGTAGACGTTGCTAAAAAAAAAAAAAAAAAAAAAAAAAGGAAGCAAGGTTGATGCTTTGTAGCTTGAAGAAGATTATTTGCTGAAAACATCTTGAATATAAACATTAGCCCGTATATGGGGAAAAAAAAACAGTTGTATGAAAACATGAAACCTGTTTCTTGTGTACAAACATAATGCATTTTGTATTTTCTCTTTAAATTAGGCTAGAGATGGGAATGACTATAGCTTGGGACTAACTCCAACAGGAGTCCTTGTTTTTGAAGGAGAAACCAAAATCGGCTTGTTCTTCTGGTAAGCAGTGTGAATACCAGAGGTACTCTTGTTTTTAACAAGTCAAAGGATTTGTGTCATTAATCATGAGAAGTTTGCAAGTGGAGTTACGTTTCCGAGTCCTCTAGCTCTGTGTCCCAGTAGTGTCAAAAGCGTGTCAGTGTGTCTCAGTGAGCTTATCTCATGTTTGTGTACATATGAAATGTTCTTTCCACGATGACCCGTCCGTGTGGCTCTTATATAGTATTGTCCAAGGCCTCTCTTCTCTGTGGCAGAAAAAGGAAGATGTTAGTGCTTCTGCTCCTCCTGATGTCAAGTTCCACTCCTCCTCTTCCCCACTTGTTTCCATACTGAGAGATGGTGCACAGGTTTCATGACCCTAAAGCATAGAATTGAGAAATTGTTTGCATTAATACATTTTTGTTAGAACTAATGCAGCACTTTAGGCATATATTACAGACAAGAGCTAAAGAAGGCCCATGTTACTACTTTTGTAACATGCCATGACTGTTGGCTTCAGGCCTTCCTACCAAACTCATTCACATCCAGGTGTTACTGGTAAAAATAGAGAAGACGACTCTAATCAGTGATGTTTTCTTTTATACCCTTTAAAAACACTTAATGGCTTTTGTTATATTTAATACCTGTGCTATTTAACCCTGAAAATTTTACCTAGGGCTACAGAATTCATTGTACCACATTAGGGGTGTGCAAAATGCATATATATCTCATTTCCTTCATATTTTAATGTCTGATACATGGGAAACATCAGTTTGTCAGTTGGTTGCTTTTGAAGTATGTTTTAGCCTTCCCTTTAGAGGCTTTAACAGACAGTGCTGGCTGCTTTAACCTTCTTACCAGTGATTGGAAATAAGGAGACATGTTTGATATAGAAAAGGATTTTCCCCTAATCTGGCTGTTGATTTCATATTATTAAAGGCCCAAGATAACCAGATTGGATTTTAAGAAGAATAAATTAACCCTAGTGGTTGTGGAAGATGATGATCAGGTAAGAATTGTTCTGTATTATGTACTTAACAATAGTTATGTGGTAACAAATGGGGATGCGCCTCATAGAACAAAACTTAGCACTGCTTATACGTGGATGCAAGATCCTCATTCAGATCAGACCGTCCTAAAAATGTACTTTTGTGCCTGAAATCTTAAAGATAATTTGAAAGCTTACCATTTATTATTTCTTTATTGATAGTGTACAAAGGTTACATTTAGGTGACTATTGCTTAATTCCTGATAAAAGGTTTAAAAGAACAATTCAGTTACCTTTTATCTGAACACTTTGGAGGCAAGGACAGGTGGATCTCTGAGTTTAAGGCCAGCCTGGTCTACAAGAATTCTGGCCAGTGAGACCTTTTCTCAAAGAAACAAAAAACAAAAAACAAAAAAAAAAAAAAAAAAAAAAGATACACCTGGTGGCATTTTTTTTAACAATAAAATGTGATTCGATTTTTAGTAGCTTTTTTATATAATTTTAGTGTTGTCCCATTTTAAAATGGTTGTAACAGTCAAATTGTATCAATCTTTCTGAAAATTTGCAGATATTAGATTTTACTGTTTTAAGTTTGACTCCATTTAATTGTTGGAAACCAGATAAATAGTATATTGTATTGTGATAGTAGCCTTCTTCTGTTTGTCTGTTGCTATTGAGAATATGTGTGGATCTGATTAAACATAGTAACTAGCCAAAAGAGTGAGACTGTAACTTAAGGTGAGTGAGGGAGGCCCTTAGATAGTTAAACTTTTTTTTTAATTAATATGGGCATTAGACAGGTCATTTTTATAAAACCATCTCTGGGTTTTTTTGGTGTTAGATAAATGAAATGATAGTTTATCAAAAAATGGGTTAATGGGAAGCACTGCTTAATACTCTTTGATTTTCTTGTTACAACTAAACCTATTCAATTATTAAACAGAAAAAGAATTTTTGTGGCTGATACTGTGTGATGCTTTTTCACAGAATGAATAGAAACATTCATATTCTTAGGGGAATTTGAATGCAGTAGATTGTCCATTGGAGACATTATTTTAAAAGTGTAGTTAGTTAGTGGTAAAAAAGTGTAGTTAGTTAGTGGTAAAATGGGAATATATGATCTTGGCAAGTCTGCAAAATAGGTAGGCAGATGTTCATGATATTTTTATGCATAAAAATGATATGTAACCAAGAAAAATAGAATTGTTTATGAAAGAACTTACAATACAATCAGTGAACATTTGATATGCTAAATAGTTTTATGCCTGAGTTTTTAAAAAGAAATTTTATATTTGGGAATTTCATATCTGTATATAATGTGTTTTCATCAAATCTACCCTTCATTGCCTCCCCACTAGTTCCTCCCATTCCCCCATTTTTCCATTTGTTTTGACAGTATTTCAAACTACTGTGTCTGTACTGTGATTTTGATTCCCGCACGCCTCCCTCTCAGATATGTTTTGTAAAACAAAAGATCCAGTCACAGAAAATGCAAAGGTTCTGAGTTCTATTTTGGGCCCCCGTGATGGAAGGCAAAAACCAACTCAAATTATCTTTTGACCTTCATGAGTGTGCCATGGCACACACACATGTACATGCACACGCGCGCGCACACACACACACCTAAAAAAATAAGTTTTTTGTTGTTGTTGTTTGGTTTAATTCACTGTAGACCAAGCTGGCCTTGAACTCAGAGACACAACTGCCTCTGCCTCCTAGTTCTGGGATTAAAGGCCTATGCCAGGCTGGTGTTGTTGTTGTTGTTGTTTGTTTGTTTGTTTGTTTGTTTGTTTTCTTCTGTATCACGTTTTTGTTGAGCATGGAGTCTATACCTCTAATGGCAGAACTTTGGAGTTAGAGGCAGAGGGAACAGAAGTTCAATGGCTGCTTCAACTACAGTGAGACTCTGTTTCAGAAAAACAAAAGCAAACAACAAAAATAAATTCTTTACTCTCCCTAAACTGGAGGTGGACTGCTGCAAGGTGGTGATGGTTGTTCGGTTTTCAATTTTGAGGCATTGTCTCAGTTTGTAGCCTAGGCTATTTCCATAAGAGACTGTCTCAACAAGTGTCCTGACCCTCTAGCTCTTACATCTTACAATATCTCCCTCTACTGCAATGCTCCCTGAGCTTTAAACTGTAAGGGTTGTATTGTAAATGTATTAATTGGGGTCCAGCACCCCATGGTCAATTTGATGTTTGCATTTTGACCAAGTGTATCTTTCTGTAATACTATCTGTCTGCCTGCAAAAGCAACTAGCTTCTTTGATGAGGGGTGAGCACCACTTTTACTTGTGGATCCAAAGATAATGTATTCAGGATTCAGTTTGAAATTACACTGGTTTAGGAATGTGGCTGTAGTAGTTTCTTTAGATTCCATGCCCTCACTAGGCACAGGTAAGTAAGCAGCCCTTAAGTTCAGTAAAGTGTCTGTGGGTTACTGCCCAGATGAAAGTTACACCTTTAGTAATACCTTACTATGCTGGTCTTTGTTGTGATTTGTAGGCATTATAGCCAGATACAACTACTTACTGCTTTTCTTTCTTGGCAGCTTTTATGGCTCCTTCCAATATACTATGAGAGATAGTCCTTAGGAAGGAGACTTTTAGGTCAGATCCAAATTGATTCCTTCAAGTCCTGTGTCCACAGTGTGTAGTGTCTTTAGTAATACAGAATTACCTTCTTTGTCTGGAAGGCACTAAAGGTAACAGCAATACCTACATTGTTTGGCTTAGGAGACTCTCTTGGTTTCTCCTACCAACAACTTGAAAGGAGGTTTTCCATGTCTAGTACCAGGGTTTCTTGTTAGGGTAGTATATAATTTCAGAAGAAGGGAACATTGTCACCCCAAGTGGCCTAACTTAAGCTGTGTGTGTGTGTGTGTGATCTTTTTTTCTAATATCCTTAGTGTTATTTGTCGCCTCCTTTTTCCCCTTCATGACAACAGTGTCTCTCTAGTGCTCCTGACCCCACCATGGCCCCTTTTTACTGATTTCCATGGTTTCTCCAGGTTGTATAATCTGACCTCTAGATGCGGTATAAGAATCCACAAATATGAGAGAACATACAGCAGTTGTCTTTCTGGGGCTGGGTTACTCACTCAGTATAATATTTTCTTTTCAACTATTTACCTGCAAATTTCATTTCATTTATCCACAATATATTATGATCACATGTCCATTTGTCAGTTGGGCATTTGGGTTGTTTTCATTTCCTAGCTATTGTAAATAGAGTGACCATGAACGTGACTAACCACGTATCTGTGGAGTGAGATGACAAGTCCTTTGGACATGGGTCAAAGAATGATATAGTTAGGCCATATAATAGATTTATTTTTAGTTAGTTTCTTGTTGTTGTTCATTAGTTTTTATCTTGTTTTAGAAATTTCCAATTTGAGGGCTGGAGAGATGGCTCAGTGATTAAGAACATTGCTCTTCCAGAGGTCCTGAGTTCAATTCCCTGCAACCACATGGTGGCTCACAACCATCTGTAATGAGATCTGGTACCCTCTTCTGTCATGCAAGGGTACATGCAGGCAGAACACTGTATACATAATAAATAAATAAATCTTTTAAAAAAAGAAATTTCCAATCTGATTTCCAGAGTGGCTGCATCAGTTTGCAGTTACACTAACAGTGAAATACAGTTTTCATTTCCCCAATCCTTCTATCATTTTTTGCTGTTTGTGTGTTTTGACTTTTGCCTTTCTTTGCATTTCGCTGATTGCTAAGGATGTTGAACACTTTTAAAAATACTTCATGACCATTTTAATTTATTCTTTTGAGAGCTCTGTTCAGATCTTTAGGCTACTTTTAGTTGGGTTGCTTGTTTTTTTGACTTGTTTTATTGTGGGGTTTTGTTTTGTTTTGTTTTTGTTTTAGTTCTTTCTATATTCTGGATACTAGTCCTCTGTCAGAAATATAGTTGGCAAATACTGTCTCCCACTCTGTGGGCTCCCTCTCCACACAACTGATTGTTTCCTTTGTTAAACATAAGCCTTTTAGTTTTATGAGGTCCCATTTTTCAGTTGTTGACTATAACTACTCAGCTAATGGGGCCTAGTCCAGAAAATGCTTTCCTATACCTTTGTCTTTATAGATCACTGTCTATACTTTCTTCTAGTATTCTTTTGTTTCCCTCCATGAGACATGGTTTCTCTGGGTAGTCCTGATTGTCCTAGAACTCACTCTGTAGGCCAGACTGGCCTTGAACTCAAGAGAGCCACCTACTTCTGCCTCGCTAGTGCTGGCATTCACCACAGGCTTGACTGCCTTTTGGTACTAGTATGGTTGTATTTGTGTTGCAGAAATAGGAGACATGATTGGCTTAGTAAACGCTGCTTTGTCGTTTTCAGGGTAAAGAACAAGAGCATACCTTTGTCTTTAGACTAGATCATCCAAAAGCCTGCAAACACTTATGGAAATGCGCAGTGGAGCACCATGCCTTCTTCCGTCTCCGAGGACCTGTCCAAAAGAGTTCTCAACGATCAGGATTCATTCGACTAGGATCACGATTTAGATACAGGTCAATTTCCCTAAGTTTTGACATCACCCTCTCCTGCATACAGGCCATAAAAGTTAAGCCACCACTGATTTTACTGAGGTAGAAACCAAGACAGAGAAACAGTATATGTTGCCAAAGATATTTACTGGCCAAATTATTTAAAGAAATAATGTTATTGTTAATAATTTTTGATTATGTGGGAAATCAGATATATTGTTGATTTATATATTAGCATATTTTATATATAGTAATCAAGCCACAATTTAAATTTTGTAACAAGGTAAATTCTCCATCTAACAGGTTTTTCTCATACAGAAAATGTATGGGGTATTAGTACGAATAATATTGTGGTTCTCTATAAACCTGAAGACCAGTTGCTTTTACCAACTCCTTTGCTGTGAATTTGAAATGTTTCAGTTCATGTTATATCCAAGTAGCTGGTCAGGTTGAGACTTCAGCATGCCATTGAAGTCAGAGAATGGATGACAATGTAAAAAGTCAAACTCAGAGAATTCTTAAGATAATTTCTGTTCTAGCCATGTCAAAAATGCTGAGGCATTTTCTTCTTAGCTGGAAACCTAAGAAGTACAATAGTAGTTTTTTAAATTATTTCTGGAAATTTTTTGTGGAAATAATAGCAGTAACGAGTTAGGGCTGAGGACATAGCCCATTGGTAGAGTGCTTGCTAGCATGTATAAGGCCTACAGTTTAATCTACAGTACTACAAGAAGAAAATTAACTGTAAATCTTGTTTTGGATTACATATTTTGCATTGATTCATGTGAATAGGAAATTAGAGGTTGCTTCCCTGAAGGCATGGGCATTCTCTCCTTGTTAATGTTTGTAGGTGATATACATGCTTAGGAGAAATCCTGTTTTGGTTTGGTTTTTTTTTTTTTTTTTTTTTTTTGGTTTTTCGAGACAGGGTTTCTCTGTATTGTTTTGGAGGCTGTCCTGGAACTCGATCTGTAGACCAGGCTGGCCTCGAACTCACAAAGATCCGCCTGCCTCTGCCTCCCAAATGCTGGGATTAAAGGTGTGTGCCACCAACGCCCTGCTGAAATCCTGTATTATTAATGTTACATATTTTACCAAAGCATGGAGAATATAAAACTGTTTGATGAAGAGAACAAAACAAAACTATTGGGACGGTAGTTCCCTTCTGGATGCAGGATAATCTGAGTGCAGACATCTTACTCCTGTGTCTGGTTGCCTCAGATTGTCTTACTGTTGACTTGCCTCATTTATTATAGTGGCAAAACAGAGTATCAGACCACAAAAACAAACAAAGCCAGAAGATCGACCTCCTTTGAAAGAAGGCCCAGCAAGCGATACTCCCGGCGAACACTACAGATGAAAGGTGAAATGCAACCTTGTTCCAAAGTCTTGTCCTTCCTGTCCACTCTTCATTTGCTAGCATCCCTATTTGCTGGAGAGGAAGCAATCTGAGTCTTCTTAAGTCTTTTTCAGTTAGTTAAAACTATCCTTGTATGAGCTTCATAAACTATATACATTTTAATGGCTCCTGTAATTAGCTGGGATTATACTTGATAGTAGGCTCACTTCCGATGATGTTCTGGGCAGTCTTTTTGTTTGCACTTAGTTTTTATTATGTCTGCACTAGAGAGGTATTTTCTCTCTTTTGTCTCATTTCATCTCATGATGAAATGCCTCTTCATCCCCTTAAATGTTTTTTAATATAGCACGTAATGAATACATTAATTTTTTTTTATTTTGTGTGTAGGGGAGTGAGGGCATGCATGTGTGCGTGTGTGTCATTTAATGTATCATGTGAAGGCCAGTGCCCTGGACCTGGAATTACAGACAGTTGTGAGCTGCCATGTGGATGCTGAGACCTGACCCAGGTCCTCTGGAAGAGCGTCCAGTGTTCTTAGCCTCTGAGTCATCTCTCCAGCCCCAAAGAATTTTTCAGTAAAAATTATTCCATATTAGGCTGGTGAGATAAAGGCATTTTATAAATGGCTTAGTGGATAAAGGTACTTACGTCAAGTCTAATTGACCTAAGTTCAGTCCCCAGGACCTAACTAGTGAAGGAAAACAGACTCCACAGAGTTATCCTCTGACCTACATATACACATCCCACACAAAGACACATGATAAAACAATATAAAAATGAGTAAATAATACTGTTCCTATTTAATTTGCTGTTAGAAATTCTACTAAATAAAATTAAAATTTTTAGTTATCAATGTGTCGTGCATAGATATTTACAAATTCATAAATGTTATCTGCCACTTAAGATACTTCAACTCTGCAAGAAGAGCATAGTTTCCGTTTAACAAATTTTAAATTTGAGTTTCTACTAAAATGCAAATTGGGTTTTAGCATGTCTGTCAGGTCATTATCATCAGTTGTCCAAAATATGCCATGATCTGATAATTACAGCACTGTGTTTTTGATTTTTCAGAATGACTACTCCATACTCAATTTTTGGTATGGTTGTAAATTTAAATGTATAGCTATAAATTAAAATAGTTAAATGATGGCTTAAAGCCCTATTACCCAGTCTTTTCAACTGACAGAATTCAGAGTCAGTCACCTTCATCTAAGAGGCTTGTAGAAATTTAGTTTAAAATAACAGTTGTGAGCCAGCAGTTTAGCTCATGGCTGAAGTTGCTTGTCACCAAGCTTGATGACCTGAGTTTGAATCCCAAGGCCCACAATGTTTCAGAAGGGGAGATGGACTCCCACAAATTGTCCTTGCTCTTATATATGCTCTGTGGTACTGACATGCACACACAAAATTCCATTTTTAGTGGAATTTAAAAATGAATAGATGTTAGGCTGGAGAGATGGCTCAGCAGTTAAAAAGCAAATACCCCTTCCATAGGCCCTGAGTATGGTTCATAGCACCTGTGTCAGATGGACCACAACCACCTTTAATTCCAGTTCCAAGGGTGATTCACACCTTTCGCCTTTGCAGGCACCTGTACTGTGTGCATATGTACACACAGACAAGATTTTTTTTTTCGAGACAGCGTTTCTCTGCATTACTTTAGAACCTGTCCTGGAACTTGCTCTGTAAACCAATCTAGCCTCAAACTCACAGAGATCCTCCTGCCTCTGCCTCCCAAGTGCTGGGATTAAAGGCATGTCCCACCAATGTCTAGCAAGAATTTTAAATAAAACAAATCTTTAAAAGTAGAGTAGGGGGCTGGAGAGGTGGTTCAGCAGTTAAGAGCATACTGCTCTTGCAGAAAACCCGAATTTGGTTCCAGCACCCACATCAAGTGACTCCGGCTCCAAGTGATCCGATGCTCTCTTCTCTGAGCTCCAGGAGGACCTGCCCTCTTGTGTGCGTAGCCATGTACAGACACCCTCAGGTCTGCATAAACAAAAGTGAAATTATGGAAAAGAGACGAATAGGTGTGCACAGGATTTTATTGAAGAATAGAAGTGGCTGCTGCTCGTGGTACTGGTCTGACCTTCAGCCCAGCCTCTGTGTGTTTTCACAGTTAGTCACAGTTTTACTTTGAATAGTGTAGCAATTTGTCATGCCAGGTGGACTAATAAGATGTTATCTTTTCTCTTGTCAGCAAACACAACAAAACCTGAAGATCTTGGGTGAGTAATGCCTGCAATATAGGAACTGAGACAATTTACATAGTTGTGCAATTTATATAGTTGCTATTACTAATTAAACAAATATTTGTTGAAGACCTTGCCAAATGTCAGATTTTTCATAGGCATTGGGAGGATAGTAGGGAACAAATAAACACCAGATAAAATTGACATTCAGAAAAATTAAGCTGCTTACAGAAGTAGCTATGTTATTCATATTGAAAATGTCAAAGAAGAAAGGTGAGTTTACAGGTAAGCAATTTTATTCTAGGCTGAATTCCATTCAGTCATGGTATGTAATTCATACTTCCGTGTTACTGGATCTGGCATGCTAGTATTTGTTGATCTGTTCTATATTCATCAGAGGTATTGATCTGTGCTTTCTTAGACTCTTTATCCAGTTTTGGTATAAGAGCGATTGATGATCTAACAGAGTAAGTTGGTAAATAGTCCTTCCTCTCCAATTTTTTGAGGAGAGTTTGTAAGGAATTCTTTCTTAACACTGTGATAGAATCCATTAAAGCCACCTAACTTGCATTATCTCTAGTCCAGTTTTTAAATCCTTAATTCTTGTAGACATATTTTTTAAATGGTATATAGTTCAATTTTTTCCAGTCTTGTTTAAGACCGATAGTGCTATACCTGATTCCTTTCTAATTATCTCCCTTTTTTCTTAGTCAATTCAGCTGAGTATTTACCAGTTCGCTAGCCTTTCATTTATTCTTGCTCTAATGTTTCTTACTCTTAAGATTTAGTTTGCTCTGGCTACTTCCTCTTCTTCCTGCCTTCCTTATTTATTTGTTACCCAGGGCCTCCGTGAGTGCTAGCTAAGCAAGTGCTCTACCACAGAGCTACATCCCCAAATGACTTCTTTCTTTTGTTTTCTGTTGGTCTTTGAGACAGAGTCTCACTTTGTAGCTCTGGCTGCCTACAACTCACAGCTTGTTCACCTGGTCTAGCCTGTTTGTTAGTTGTTTAAAACATGATCTTAAGAGGACCCAAACTAGCCTTAAACTTGTGGACTTTCTGCCTTACCTCCTAAGTGCTAGGCTTTAGAAGGATGCACCACCACACCCAACTTCTTGTTCTCTATGTATGATCTTAAGGTGGGTTAAGTGATTTGAGACTTTTGTCTGTTTATTTCTCATGTTTTTGAGACAGGGTCTCATAAGACCCAGACAGATCACAAGCTTGCTGTGTACCTTGACTAAATTTGAATTCCTGATCCTGGTGCTTCAGCCTTCCTACTGCTGGGATTACAGGCTTGAACCAGCCATGCCTAACATAAACTTGTAGCTGTAAAATTCCCCTTGAGCACTAGTAGTATGTTTTGTTTGCATTTTTTGGTTCTTCCCACGTTGTTTTCTAATCCATGATTTCTCTTTAGAACTGTTGGTTACTTAGGAATATATTGGTTAATTTCCCCATATGTGTGAATATCTTAAATTTTCAAAATTTTTTGGTTAGATAGTGTGTTGTATATTATTTCAGTCCCTTTAAATGTGTTAAGATTTGACTCTAGTGGTTCCATTAATTTCAGTAGTGTGTATTACAATGTTTTTCAAAAACAACTATGTATTTGTGTCTTCCAGAATGCTTACTAAACAGTCAGATTCAAAGCTGTCTGTGGTGGCACACAGGCCTTTAATCCCACCACTTAGGAGACAGGCAGGTAGATATGGATCTGTATGAGTCTGAGGCCAGCCTGGTCTACTGTAGCAAGACCTTGTCTCAAAAAATGCATAATTGTAATAATAATAATTATTATTACTACATTTTATAATATAATTTGTAATCTATATTGAATTTTTGGATGTGTTATAAATTTCTATATATTTTTATAGACATAATAATTATTATTATAATAAAATCAGATTCAGAACATACATGCAAACATACCTTTGTGTGGGGTGTGGGTAGATAGGTCTGTCTGTCTGTCTGAATTAGAACTTCTTCAAAAGGGTTTGTTATTTTCCGATACTCAGTAGTGTTTAAATTTGTAGCAGTTCATGTTTAGTGTAGTTGTACTACGGTACCCATGTGGAGGTAAGAGGACAGCTTGTGAGAGCTGCACCATATGGGCTCCAGGGACTGCACCCCTCCTGACAGGGGCCAGTCTTGGCAGCAAGTGCCTTAACCTGCTGAGCCATCGTTCTAGCCTCTGAATTTTCCTGTTCAGTTTTCTTCACTTGAAATTGGAGCCAGGTTGTGATTAGCGATTCATTACAGAAACACTTTGTGAACAAGGACTCTTGATGCTGTTAAGACTAAAATGAATATGGAGTTGGTACTGTAAAACTTCGGATTAAAAAGAAAAATTTTGTGCCCTTCTGGGATATCTGCTTTGAGTTTTTTGTTTTTTTGTTTTTTGGGTTTTTTTTTTTTTGACTCATTTAGAAGGTGTGCTTGCAAGGAAATTAGGAAGGAAGTTTGGCTTCTGTTTTTTAAAAATGGTGTTGTTTATTTAGTAGATTACATCTTGCTTTCTTGAAACATACTAGGACATGACATTTCACCTTAAAGATATGCCATGAAAGTAGTAGAAATAGAAAATATTTAATCAGTGACTTGATGTGGAACAATTAAGGTTTTTCTTATTTGCAAAGTTAAAATTCATTCTCTTAAGATGTTCTGAAATACAATTTTTTAGTCAGAGCATAGTGAATATGAACATGGTCTCTTTTCTAGAATTAAAGTTAATTTCACTTTAGTGGATAAATGTCATTGTCTCCTTATTAGTGATGTTTTTGGCTCTAGAAGACCACATAAACAGGCTATGTAAGAAATGATGGAGAAAAGAAAGAAAGAAGGAAATGATGGCCCATGAAGGCTGTGGTGGCAGACACCTTTAATTCCTGCACTCGGGAAGCAGAGGCAGGTGGATCTCTGTGAGTACAAGGGCAGCCTGATCTACAGAGCGAGTTCCATACTGGCTCCAAAGCTTCACAGAGAAACTGTATCTTGGAAAACAAACAAGGAAACAAACAAACAAAAAAATGATGACCCTTTGGAGGAAGCAAAGGGAGGGACAAATAATACAATTATAATTTCAAAAATTATAAGAGACTAAGTTGGGTGGCTCACAGCTCTGGATGATCTGAGTTGTCCTTCAAGGATCCATATACTTACATGTATTACTTATACACAGACAAACACGCACATACATAAATAAACCTTAATAAATCTGTCTGTCTGCCTGCCTGCCTGCCTGCCTGTGTCTTTCAGAAGTTAAATGATGAGACAGCTCATCTCCCCCTGAAGGTTACTAGGCGTCTGCGTCTCTTTTATGCAATCCTGGGAAGCCCTGAGTTTGAACTGGCATGTATGCCCTTCGCTCTTGCCCTTGCCGTTCTGCTTGCATGAATAGTTTTGTTGCAGTGGACCATGGAGAACAGTGCCTTTTTTATGGTGTCTAACTATTTGACCTAAAAATACTTCTCGACCTTGTACTTGCTGTTTCATAAAATATGCCCAGTTTGAATAACAGGTTTATAAATTGCTGGTGTCGGGCTCTCCTCATGAGGTTCCACTAAAAGTACATTAAGAGAAGGTAGTGCTTTAAAGGATAATTGATGTTCATGGTTACTAATGCTGTTTTATTTTTCTAAATGATGCACAGGCTAGCCCCATGACCTGAACTTGAGACTCTTATTTGAGCTTCCTTCTCACTGAGTGGTGAGACTGTAGGCATATAGCTGTTGTACCTGGCTTAGAGACAGCATAGAACAGGACAAGGGAAGGAAATTAAGTAGAGGCTATCTATGAGCAAAAAGGTCAATGATCCTTTACAAAGTCCTTCTCTAAGATGCCCTGAATATGTTCACAAATCAAGTGAAAGGGAGTCTAGCCAGTCAGTGTATAACAAACATGACTCTGGCAGGCCTTGACCTTCTCCCCAATTTCCCTCTGCCTTGCTAAAAACTGCTAGATTACATTCCTAAAACTAGCCACAAGGTCTGTTCCCTTATTTGACTCCTTTCTCCTCCTGAGACTGACTACCAAGATCCAGCTATCAAAGTATTGAAATCCAACTATCAAAAGCCCCCTTTGACTGCCCTAATTAACATCCCCTTTTATCTTTATAAACCGTCATTTTTCCTATGTGTCATATCTGTCTCTCCTATATCTACAGGCAGTCCTATGCCCCTGCTCCCAGGAACAAATATCCTACCCCCTCTCCCTTGTTCCTTTTCCCTTCTCCTTTATCCTGTCTCCTGTGTTTGTCTCTTATTCCTTGCCCTTTGTCCCTTGGTCTTAGAGTGTCTTGTGCTGAATACTGGACCCTTCATCAATGTTTTGAACTAACTAACCTTAATTGTCTCTTCATTAATGATGCTTTGTTTGTTTCTATCTTTGTGGTACTAAACATCAAACCCAGGGCCTCCTGGATGCTAGACCGGCATTCTACCAGTGAACTACATCCTAAGCCCTGCTTTTTAATTATTAAGGAATTATGAGAAAAGTAGTATATTCTAGAAATTTTGATTTAGATAATATGGCTTATTATGAGAGATGTTTTTCTTGGGTCTCCTGGAAGTCCAGCACCCTTAGTAGTCAGTAATAAAATAATAATTGGGATTCAGTGGCTAAGAATGCTGGCTGTTATTCCAGAGGACCCAAGTTTGAGTCCTAGCTCCCACATTGAGTAGCTCATAGCTGCCTGTAACTCCAGCCTCAAGGATACAAGCCTTCTTCTGGCTTCTTCAGGTACCTTAATATATGTGTGCACACATGGATAGACATACACATAAATATAGAATGAGTCATTTTTTAAAATGGGAGATGATGGATAAAAGCACCTGCCACAGAACCTGATGTCCTGAGTTCAATCCTCAAGACCCATGTGGTGGAAGGAGAGAACCTCTGGCCAGTTGTCCTGATCTCCAAACATGCACAAAGTAAATGTTTAAATTTTCAATAAAGGATGTTTCGCAAAAGTGTAATATTTGTGAAGCTTAAGTCCCATTACCTTATTATTTACTAACTAGAACAATATATAAATATATAAACTATATAAAACTGAGTACTTCAAATGTGGTTGTAAGTGAAAATAGAATTATTAATTTAAAAGATGAGCCAGGCAGTGATGGCACACACATTCAATCCCAACACTTGGGAGGCAGAGGCAGGCAGATCTCTGTGAGTTCAAGGCCAGCCTGGTCTACAGAGCAAGCTCCAGGACAGCCAAGGCTACACAGAGAACCCCTGCCTGAAGGGGGACACGGGAGAAGGAATGAAGACCAACATATAAAATCAGATATGGGGAAGAAGACCAGTTAGGTTCTCAACTTGTGAGTCACTACCCCTTTTCGAGTCAAATGACCCTTTTACAGGGGTCGCATATCAGATATTCTGCATATGGTGTATTTACATTATGACTCATAGCAGTAGCAAGTTTACAGTTATGAAGTAGTAGTGAAATAATTTTATGGTTAGGGTCACCACAACACAAGGAACTGTATTAAAGGAACTCTTCAGGAAGGTCTAGAAGAGAGAAATTTGAAGGTTCCAAATATAAATGATACTAGGATGGGAATGCTCAATACCCTGTTTGGCTCAAGACACTTGATAGGCATTTGTTGAAAGATTACTAGTAATGTAAGGCACAGTTAAAATCTGTGTATATGGAAAATACAAATGGTCATAGAAATGCAAGTGCTTGATAGTCGAAACTATGACCATTATAGCTTGAGAAATCATCAATAATTTTGCTGGAAACAAAACATTAATATCATTGGTACTGCTTTGAATAGTATATTATAATCTTAGAAATCAAAGCATGGTATCACACATCTTTAATCTCAGCACTCCAAAGGCAGACAGATCTGAGTTTGAGACCAGGCTGGTCTACATAGCAAGTGTTGGATCAGCCAGGACTGTGTAATAAGACCCTCTCTCTCAAAAAAAAAAATTAGAATGTAATATCCTGGAATTTTATATGTAAGGTTTTTTAACCTATAATGCTTTATTATACATATACTACATTAATAATAAAAGTTAATGTAAACTATATATGTGTGTATACATATGTCAGGCTTATCAAAAGACTACACAATTATGCTCTTAGATTTCATTTTCTCAATGATACAATGATTTAAGCATGGATTTAAGTAAATGGTTTGTAATTAATTCAGTTCCAATTTGGGTCTGTATTCATTCATGTTTGTTTAACTTTTTTTTTTAAGATTGTATTTTAATTCCAATCTTTCTTAATCTTTCTTCCCTCCAAATCCTTATATATAAGTTTTTAATAGGTTTTTTTCCCTCTTTATTATAGTGTTCATAATGCTTCAACCCAGAATAATGACTTCCAACAGGTAAGACAATAGTAAGTTTCCAAATCTCCAGAGCACATAGTAAATTTTAGTGACTGTCAATGCTATAGTTGGATTTTTGTAGTGCGTGATATTTTATAAGTTTTGTACATTTCTTACTCCTACCACTTCTCCTTGTTTTACTAGGATTCTATGAGTAAAACAGATAATTCGTTAAACATTTCTGTTACTATAAATCTGGGGCATCAGTACATTGTGAATGTTCACTTATCAGCTAAAATTAGTGTATTAAAATTCAAACATTTATGTGCTATATAGATTTATATAGTTGTATTTCTTGGTGTTGCTATTTCTGCTTGTTAGTATTTGACCTTGCTTATAGGCAAAACAAATGAATTTTATGATTTTTGCCCAAAGGCTTGGGGTGTGAGGTCTCCTGTACCTATGAATCCTGTCTCATCCTCTGGTCCTGTGCTGGTGGAGATAGAGAATCTTCCACAGAATTCTGCAGCAGACCAACATGACAGAAAATGGTTTGTTAACCTCCTAAACCAAAATATTGCTTGTGTAATTGTATTCTAAACTTTTAAGCTATAATCTTAAAGTACTTTAAATGTGATTGAAAACAAATTATTCATATTTGTGATCCAAAAAGGAGCAGACTGAGCAGTCAGGGATGGTGAGCATAAGTTTGTGGATGAAGAAAGGAGGACAGTTGTCTAAAGGCAGAAAATAAGACATCTGGCTTTACTTTCATTAGTGTGATCTGGGAATGGCTGATAAAAAGTCTTTAAAAAAAAAAAAGGAAAAATTCCAGTTTGGAGAGCTAGAAAACTAGTTCAATGAAAGTAAAGTTATTTATGTAGTCAACAAACTCACAAATATGGATACTTTGTGGCCTGTTGGATCCAATCAGTTGGGTTTGTGCTTTCCTTAAAAGCCATATGACTTGGCGGAGGTTCCTTGGAAGTGATTGGTCCTATGGATATATTATCTGTTCAGGCTTTGTGTCTGTTTATTGGATGCACTTGGATGATTCATGGGATTTTTCTCTCTTCTCTTGAGCTTAGTTTGTTAATACTTGAAACCTAATGCGTTTCTGTGGTGATCTCAAGGTTTGGGTTGGTTTTCTATGCAGCCAGTTCTTCCTTCATGGTGGTGGTCAGTAGTGATTGGTGACTATCTCTGATCTGTGCTGTGTAATCTTTCCACTGGTATTGTTGGCTTAACTAACGACAGGATGCTTTGCTTGTGATGGTTCACTGTATTTTATCTCAGTTCCAGATAGCTTGCAGTTAAAATCAATCAAGGGGGGGGGGAGGTCTCTCCCTTGTTTTGCTCCATATATATACATATATGGGAACATAATATAGAGTATTTAGGTATGTGTATACACATGTACATACCAAAAGAAAACAAGTGAGATCTACAGATGTCAAGTTTTAGTCTTCAAGACATTATAATTTTCAGTTTCTTGCTGAAGTTAACAGCCCAGCAAGCAGTTATGCTCCATCTTTTTAATGTGCCACTGAAGCCCATTGTCACGTAAAGAGTAACCAGACTTCAGCTGTAAAAGAACTGTCTTAATATATACATGTCTTTCTTTAATACCAAATAAGAATCTGATTAGTTTACATCCTATGTTATGAATGCTACGTCTTTATTGAATTCCATTTTAATGAGTACGTATTTAAATCTATTTAATTTGATTTGTTAGGCACTACCAGTTGCTTTGTAGCCTTTAGAGAATATTGAATTTGAGTTTCAAGAAAAATGAAAAAACCTTGGAGCCGTGTGTCCTCCTCCTTTATATGGTTATGCTGATACCTCCTTTGCTAAAATGGAGTAGAGATGACCCTGAAAACCTGAGGAGCCTCAGAGTATGTTAGCAGGGCATGGACCTGAACATACAATGACATACTCTTAGAGCTAGAGATTCTCCAGCCTTAATGTAAAGTGCCTTCTGCCTCCTGTTCTCTGTTTCTGCATGCTTGTATTTCAGAGACTAGAAAACAGTCCTCCTTTAGAAGGAGGTAACAAAATGTGGGAACTGATAACCAGGTGACAGCAGAGTGTGGAATTTCTCACTCCTGGCAGATGATTTGGAGCCAATTTAATTGAAGCCTGTTTCCTGTTCAAGTCTTCCCTTGCCCTACCCCCTATATCTTAAAAGATACCATGAACTAGGTGAATGATTTAATATGTCAGTCACTTAGAATTTATTAAGGTATTTCATATCACTTGGAACACATACATTGTTTGTTAGCAAGAAGTAAGATAACAGTGGCATGTCCTTGAGAGGCTGAGGATAGAGACTCTACTGAATCCTGGTATTTGAGTCCAGCCTGAGCAACAAAGTAACCTTATCCCAAAACAAAATAAAGCATGCCTGTAATCCCAGTGCTTAAGAAGAAGGTGCAGGTAGACCCGTGATGTCAGCCTGGCTATGTAGTGAGACTATCAAAAAACAAAAAGAAGTAGAACTTGGAACTTTTGCATCTTTAAACCAGAACATAAGCCGAATTTAATCTCTAAATTTTTAGAGACTCTAAACCAAGGGTCATGAATTTTGTTTTGTTAGGTCAGATGAGCAAGTTGAATTTCAATGGAAGGAAATAAAATCATGTTAGTAGTTAAAAGCAAACAACACACCTTCCATGTTTATTTTGAAAAGTCTTTTCAGTTTTTATGAGTAAATAGACTAAAAATTAAATTAGTATTTCATTGAATTTGAAAAATAATACTGTTTTTTTTTTATCTAGATTTTAGGTACCCTTGGTAGTTAGTGAAGTATGTCCTGTCCTTGTCACATCACAAAAGTTTGGTTTTTGAGCCATAGCAGGTTTTTTCTTTCTGCTGGAGGACTCTTGTGACTCCATCCAGAGCTGCACGTGCCTATGTCTGTGCATGTCTGCCCTCCAGGTCCCCTGTGCTTGCGGCACTCGGTCTGTGCCTGTTGCTTCAGCTTGTACTCCTGTGAACTTCATTACAGAGAGTACAATAATTATTGTTCATTTGAAGCACTGATGTGAGCTTGCTTGATGTCTAAGACAAGTTGTTTTTCTTTTTTTTAAAATACTCCTGAATTTTGTTTCCTGGATTATCCTTTTTTTAAAATCATGTAGCCGGATGGTGGTGGCACACGCCTTTAATCCCAGCACTCGGGAGGCAGAGGCAGGCGGATCTCTGTGAGTTCGAGGCCGGGCTGGACTGACAGCCTCAAACAATACAGAGAAACCCTGTCTCATAAAACTGAAAAAAAAAATCATGTAAGTTTGGAGATCTTTTTTTAAAAAGATTTATTTATTATGAATACAACATCATGCCTCCATGTATGTCTGCATGCCAGAAGAGGGCATCAGATCTCATTATGAGATGGTTGTGAGCCACCATGTGGTTGCTGGGAATTGAACTCAGGACCTCTGGAAGAGCAGTCAGTACTCTTAACCTCTGAGCCATCTCTCCAGCCCCTGGAGATCATTTTTATAATTGCCCTTTCTATATATGTCTTTGTCTTTCAGTAGAATTTCTTCTAATATTTGAATAAAGCCTTACCTAGAATTTTTTTTCACTAGAATTCCAAACAGTATTTCTACCTAGGAGTGTCCCAGCAACAGCAGGGACAGATAACAGAGTGTTTTGCCAGCTGTGACTTTTCTTCATTAATTAATTCACTTAACTGATTATAGTTACATGTGTCTCTGTATTGGCGCTTTCCATTACATGAACCATGTAACTGTGTATTCCCCCCTCTGCTATTCCTGAATGTTATCACTGCTTGGGAACTGCTCTCCATGGTGGTGCACGCTGCTCACATTGCCTTTCCCCTTACACACCCATGTTCTCTGTTCCTGTTGACTAACTGTACTCCCCAATCCTCAACCGTCTAGGCTCTCTGCTACCAGTGACTGCTGTCAACGTGGTGGAAACCAGTGGAGCACAAGGGCCTTGTCCCCACCCCAGACTGCACATAGAAACTACACTGACTTTGTACATGAGCACAATGTGAAGAATGCAGGAGTCCATCATGATGCTCATTTTTCTGGCCGTGCAGCCATGACTGAAATATGAGTTGTTAACGCCTTTTAGGCCATGGAACTGCCATCCATTAGGAATATTGGAGAGAATGTATTTCATACCAATTCACTAGTTTCATACAGTGCTGTGATTGACTTCTTCTGAGTAAGGGAAGAGGATCTGAAGAAGCTGTAAGCTGTCACAGATGATGGCAGGTGTTGCCACGTTGAAAGGGTGTGCGTACCACTGTGGCCTTGGGAAGGGTTTTCATAATTTTAGTATTTAGCACATCGCTCAGAGTATCTCTTAGAATGTTCATGTTTATGATAAACTGTCACTTGTCATCCTACCCCATGCCTTCAAAGTAGATGGAGTTTAAAGAATAAGACACAAGGGCTGGAGAGATGGCTCAGAGATTAAGAGCACTCATTACTCTTCCAGAAGTCCTGAGTTCGATCCCCAGCAACCACATGGTGGCTTGCTACCATCTGTAATGATACCTGGTGCCTTCTTCTGACCTGTAAGAATATATGCAGGCAGAACACTGTATACATAATAAATAAATAAATCTTAAAAAAAAAAGAGTAAGACACAAAAGGAACCATGTTCTGTCATGGTGTAGTGGTCTTTTGTGGTACTCTGACAATACTGTTCTCACATACTGCTTTCTAAAGTGACCTGTGCCTTAATTTCAGCTAAGTACCTGTGGTTTTAATAAACATTTACTATGCTTTATGTGTTTTGCTGCTGCAGTTCTATAAATTACAGTAACAGAATAGTTCATGTAGAGAGACAAGACTGAATGTTACATTACTAGCAGAAGGTTATACCAAATAATTTTTTCTTACTTTTTTCTTTGTTACTGAAAATCCTTGACAGATCACCCTGGTTTGTAACACCTTCATAATCTGGCCTTATACAGCTTTTAAAATAAAGTTCTGATGTCAAAATGGAACCATTTTATGATGGGCTGCATATATTTGACACTTTTAGTCCTTTTTGAACTTTGCAATATAGTTAATTCAAGCTTTTTTGTTTAATTCATTGGAAGTAAACTAGCTGGTAAAGTTCATTTCTGATGATTGAAACACTACTTAAAATAAGCAGTGTTTCCTCTTACAATTATTTTAAATTTTAGAAAAATTTCTAAACTTTACAGAGAAATTTGAAGATTTATGTTGAGAATTATCGATGCTTTGAAATAATGAAGCTTTGTTATAAACATTGTATCATTGAACTGTTCTGGCTTACCTCAGGTTGGCGTCATCCTCTGGGTTCTCTCTGCTAGGCAGTGAAGATGACCTCAGAAGGCTTTGGTAAAGGGCTCCTGTTACAGATATAATAGGGCTTGTTTGTAGAAGGCAGATATGTAGCCTAAAACATTTATTTAGAACATGAAATTTGTAGTCAAGTCTTAATCTGCTTTGTCATATAAGGGGATCATTGCCTAAATTTATTATAGATAGTATAGGATAGATGTTCAAAATATTAACATATGCTGAATAAGAGCAGTTGC